ACCTCTCTCTCTCTTAATCTTTTAAAATACTCTCTCCTTCCTTATAAACTCCTCACATACGCCTGACCAGACCGGAGCAGACCAGGTTCCTGATACACACACCACCCTTACCAGCTAGCAGCCAGCCAACTATTTTCAAATCAAAAATCCAATTCCTGTCGTGATTGATTGAGTGACTTTCTTTTTGATCTTCTTTTCTATTCTATCCCCCTCTCATCTCATCTCTTGCCCCCCAGCTTCAAGTTTTCAACCAGCGAATACATGAACTCCAGAATTAATCCCTCTCTCTATTCTCAAATAATTAAACATAAACCCCCTCATCATCATCATCATCATCATCACAATAATCCACCCCCATCTCCACCCCATCTCCACCCCCTCACCCACTACTCCTCTTACTAGGCCTCCTCATCGTAAAACTCCTCCTAATACTCTCACCCCAAGCCGAATTATCCAAAACCTCCAACACATTTTCCGCACTAACTGCACTTCCCCTCCTACTACTCGCCACACTACTAATACCCGCCGCACCAGCACCTTCAATACCCACGCCCTCAAACGAAAATGCCGATCCGGCACCATGTGCTTGCAGTGGACTGAGCGTTGGACTTACAGCCGAGGACATGGATGGGAATGCTGTATTAATCGACGCATCTGTACCGCGACGTTGTCTTAATGGTGAACCATCGAGTCCATGTGTGATGAAAGAGTTTCGAGAATCGGTGATATCTGTTGGGGATAATAAGGAGCCGCTGATTGATGTGGTTGTTTTGTGTTTCTTGGTAGCTGGTTCTACCTCGTCGACGTAAACTTCTGGTCCTAATTGTGGGATATCTGTCAGGCGGCCAGATCTCTTTCTTTCCATGTGTTTTCTAAATCTTCTTGACCAGTACCTATACTTATGTTAGCAATTTACCTCAAGAATAATCTAAAAAAACTTACATAGTATCGAAAAATCCAACCACAATTCGCCTTCGGACTTCTTCTTCGACTCTTTGTAAACGTGCACGACGACGTAAGAATTCCTCAAGTCTATACCCATATTAGTTAAATCATACAAAACATCGATCAAACGACTTACTTTAAGCTCTTGTTATCACTAATGACATTGTAATGAGCCAGAACCATCAAAACAGTCGTAAAAGAAATACCACGATCAGGGTCCGCCGATACCAAAACCTCTTCATAGAAAAGATTAAATCGAGCTCTATCTCTTCGCACTCGTCCAACATCGATTTGAGAAATCCTTTCATTCAATTTCTTCAAATCAATACCACTAGATGCACTTGGGCTCGAAATAGAATTCAACCTTCCATTGCTCGGTTCTGCTTGTACATCCTCAAGAATTCTGCGAACTGAATCTTCTTGTGAATATACACGCATTTCAAAGACACCAGAGAGTTCACCCAACAACCTTGGAAAGTGCTCTTTTTCAATGAATCCTGTACCATCTGGATCTAAAGTAGCCCAAGCCTCCTTGAAGCGCCTAAGTTCATCACGACTGACTTTAGACAAGCCATTTGATCTCTGAAAGACATAACTGAAACTCTCATAGATAAGTGACACAAACAAACTGGTGAAAATGTACATGCTCACTATGTTCCACGAAATGAACAATATTCGAGACCATGTGGGACTTCCGCAGTCGCTGTCAAAGAAAGTATCACCTTGTGTGCAGAATGGAGGTGTGACAGTTGCATAATCTTCCATGATTTGATTCCAACCCTCTCCACAAGACATTCGAAACAGCATAATTAGTGTTTTTGGTACAGTTCGCATGTTGAGGTTATCCGTCCCTTGGGTACTAAATCGAGTGAGTCCAAAGGTCTGAGTCATAGCGATAGCAAAAACCATAAACAAGACAAACCAAGTTGCCAATAAGTTTCCAATGGCTGTCAAACTGGCAGCTGCTGTTTTGAATAGCTGATCTAGGGCATCGTTTCGAGGAATTAGAAGTAGGACGATGGCGACAAGGAATAACTTATGCAACTGAACATATACCTGAGAGTTGAAGTTGGTCAAAAGGAGTAATGTAGTAACTAAGGTTCCGAAGACAGCGAAAATTGAGAACACATCCCAAGAACTTCGTCGAAATCGGGGCCAGGTCAGACCGATGATACGGACGATAACGTTGAGAGTATAAAATATTGTGCAAGCCAAGAATATATAATCTCTGGTTGTATCCCAGATCTTTGGCTCGGGATAGAACTCTACTAAAAGTAGAATGAGATGGAAGACAAGGGTTAAAGTCATGGCCGAGTGCCACTTTCCATGCTTTCGAGTGGCCCTTTTGTAACACCAATCTCTCCACCAATGTGGATCCTTGGAGGAAGGACGTTTGGATGGAGAAACCTGCCTTAGAAGTTTCCGCAACTCAACCCAAGATCTCTGATCAGATGTCAAAAATGCTATCCCAGTTTGTTCCGTGTAATTTCGCATGAACACAGAGATAAACAAAGTAAGGATGAAAACCGTAGCAAGGAGATTGAAAATGACGAAAAAAACTGCATTGAACTCGGCAGAGGTGGGATCACCTGGATTGAGACCACGACCGGTAATGGACATTGTCTCAAACATAACATCGACCCAACCTTCTTGGGATACGATTTGGAAAAGTATAAACAGGGAAGCTCCGAAATTATCAAAATCGTACCAGGGATTCCCTACCTGCCTGGGCGAAACGACGTTCCAATCACCACTAAATGGTTGACTGTAATATTCGCCAAAGCAATCAGTCAGATTCGCGATGTCACCGTCATTGCATGTCTCCAACTGGCCGTTGAAAAGGTTCACACCGTATATTGCAAAAGGAATCAAGAGAGACATAGAAACAAAGGCAGCCTATAGCATGTTAGCAAACATTTAAAATAACATGTAAAGAATTCTTACCGAAAGAACTTTGAGACCACCGACAAGAATCACGGAATGAAATGTGTTTCTAGCACTGTCGCTGACGTTAAGCAACCGAAGAGCTCGCAAGGCTTTGAACGCTCCAACTGCTCGTGCGATCGCGCCGTCATCCATTAATGAGGTGATGACGTTAATCCATAAGGTAACAAGCACTAGACCATCTATGAAACCCCAAGTACTTCTATAATATGCGTTCGGAGTCCAAAAGAATCCGTCTGCAATGACCTTTATAAGAGCCTCGACGGTAAAAATTAAACCGAAGATAAAATCACAAAAGACGAACCAATTTTTCGCAGTCGACTTATCTGGATTGGCTATGAAGTATTCTCTTTGGTATAGAGGTGTTGTGATACATGCCAACAACACCATTGCGACGATGCATATATATAAGAATGCCGAAAAGCCATACCAAATTGACAAATTAGGCTCAACGCCATCAAAACGTTCACTCCCGCGTCCAGGTCCGACGCATCTCTGACAAAGTCTCCTGATGGGATTATTGGGCTTGAATATGAACAATGCATTATTGTAAGAAGGGTGTTTGGCCAAATATTCTCGTTGTGCTTTCTTGCGTTGTGATGAGGCTGAGACGGCTTCCTTTGCCATCGCCCTGGTTCCTTGGGAGTCGTCGGACTTGAGAGAGAATGATATATTAGAATAGAACGGATTCGGTTCTCTGTTCCAAAGTCTAGACATGAAATTACCCCAAATAGAGGATAAGAGCCCTGGCTTCACGCCGGCTGCCTCAGCGGCTGCATTTTCAGCGGCGTGTTCGTGTTGTCCCGGGACAATTTCGTCATCGAGGAAGTCTTTTACAACTGCATCCTTCAATAACATTTCCATTGTTGCTGGTCCATAATCTAGAGGATCCTTTTTCGCTTTGGATCGACCAAACCGAAGGATGGAGGATAGTGCAAGGTTGCTAGAAGAGGTATCAACCTCTTTCCTGGTGAGAAAGGCCTTCACTTGCTGCATACGCTTTTCGTCTTCCGAAACGTCGAAATTCTCTTGAATGACAGCTATGAACATATTCACCAGAATGAAGTTGGCGAGAATAAACCATCCAATGAGAAATGTTGCTCCGATCCAGCCAGTATTGCGTGAATTATTTATGCCCGTAACATTATAGAGAATATCGGTCCAATTTTCGCTCGATAGAATCTGATATAAGCCCAAGAAAGAATTGAATATTGTGGCAAAAGTCACTGTAATGGTATCTCCTCCGTCATCTTGTGCCGGGATATCACCACGGAACAGCTGAACAGCGAATATAGCAACCAAGAAAGTAATGAGAAAGACGAACAGGACAAGATTCCCAATACCACTTGCATTTCCCAACACCAACATGATCAAGGATCTCGTTATTTCGACGCCCATGACAACCCGATAGATTCTGAGGATTTGAAACACGGTAAGCCAAGCATAAGGTTGGCCTGAATTTCGAATGGGCGGCACTAGAATGACTGTCGTAATGATCGCAAGTCCCAAGTCAAATAGGTTCTTCTTGTGTTTGTGAAAGTCCCGCCAATCGGAAGCGAATCGCAAAGCGATATCAATTAGCAACAGAAATGTCACCGCAACCTCCGAGATATCGATGAAACTTGCACGAGAGTCTGACATATTAGCACTCCGGAGAGCTTGAACTACGAGGCCATAGACGATAACCAAAATCCAGAGCCAATAGGTTTTCTCGTACATCTTCTTTAGCTTACTCACCGGTCGTGGTATATCTGCACTCGTGTCGCGATGATCATCGTCAGCTTGGGCAGCAAAGGCACTTGCTTTGCCCTCTCCTCTAATAACCAGAAAAGATGAAGTAATGACGGCAATCAACAAGTTCATGAGCCAAAGCATCATAATGACAATCCCGCCAGCGAAGAAGATTGCGGCTGCAAGATAGTCGGAGTCTGTGGTGTAATACATGAGGTCGGTAAACGTATTACCTGTCATGATAACGAATACAAGTTCTAAAGACTGCCCTATGTTGTCAAAGGTTGCTGTACCATTGAAAGGAAGTAGGTCGGGAGGAAGTTGAATACAATAAGACCCCTCAGGGCACAAGTAACCTTTAGACGAACCGGTACCAGGGTTTAAAGGGTAGAGAGGATTGGACGAATTGGATACCATCCAGGGGTCATGAGACGAGTTGTCCTTATTAAACTGTCCTCCGCAATATTGAAGGCTATTGATAAATGCCGTATTATTGGTATTTTGGATGTCATCAGGATCAATCCATACGCACTGACGATCGAGACTTCCTTTAAAACTCTGTATACCGATAATGGCAAACAGCAGCCAGAAGAAACCGATGAGGAAAGACACGTTGAGTAGCAAAGGAGTTGCTTTTTTCAAACTTCGAAGAATTATCTAGGTAGTGGTTAGAAGTGCAGACAAAGCGAGAACAATACATAACTTACAGCAGTACCACTCGTAAGTGCAAGCAGCCGAAGGATACGTAAGCAACTCAACATGCGGAACACATATAGATGGTAGGTATGTTCCACCCCAAGAATGCTGAGGACAAACGCAATCCAATAAGATACAACCGCTAAAAAGTCGAGTCGATTGAAAGAATGTCTGAGGAACGCTCTCCTGGCTAATTGTAGTCGTTGAGCTTGCTCGACAGTGCTGGTCATTGCTTGCATCTGAGCGAAGGTATTGACAATAGGTCGTTGTGTATTTGTGGTCTCCTCAGAAGATGATGCACGTGCTCTTCTGACAGATGATTTTCGCTGAGGCGCGAATATGGATCGATACTTGTCCACAACTGCCGCTCTAGCTCCACGTTGGCGGTCTATTGTGCTGTATTCAGCTGCATTGGCAATAAAACCAGACACAATAATACGTGCTATTAATTCCAGGGTGAAAATTGCAAAAAGGCCCAGCAGAGCATAGTCCGTTTTAGAACCCCAGTCAGCGCGCCGAGGGTGAGTATATACAGAAGGGGCGGCATCCACGGCAAGGAGAATGGTTTGTATGACGATCAATACCAGAATCGCTGGTTCAGTAACTGGATAAACCAAAAGATCACAAAGTTTTAATCGAATCTTGTTGTCCGGTGAAAATATGCCCAGTGTCTTTCCTCTGAGAGGGTTAGGAGCATCCTGTGCTTGCCATTGATCCGTTCCAGGCCCATCCAAAGTTCTTCCCGGAGGCTTTTCAAACGGATGAAGCATGGTATTCGGCCGGTAAGCTGTATCTTCAACATTAGGTTCGAATGATCTACGTTCAGGCATAAATGGTTCCTCGACACTATGTGCCTGTCTTCTAGCACTTTCTTCGATAAGTTCAGCTTCACCGCTAAGATTAACCACACGTTGCGACATAGCCCTCACCATCGATCCAGCTCTAGATAGTGCCCCTGCGCTGGATGGAGATCTAGATCTATTCCCAGTGGATGACAGGTTGGCCCCATAACTTCCCGATCTCGCCCTTGTGCCAAATGATGAGAGACCTGCTTCCGCATGCGGAAGATCATCACCTAGCCTAGACCCTCTGTAATCTGATCCTGGTGAGTGGAAGCTGATGGATTGAAAGCTGGATCTATCGTTTCGCTGGCCATCGGGAGTAGTAGGTTGTGCCCCGCTCATTGGTTGAAGGTGGTTTGAATCCGTCAAGGGTATTTGATCAGAATCGGAAGGAAAATAAGGATTATCATTATCTCCCAGATCCTCATATGAATTTCCATAAGGTGCAAGAGAGTGTTCAGATCCAAAAGACATGGATCTTTCTCTGGGCGCATGAGATAAACTGATGTCCGGTACATTCAAGCCAGCGAATCCCATTGCGGCTTGAAAATCTGCAGGATTCCGCATCGGCGAGGTAGGTGTTTGTGTCTCAATATTATGTCCCCCTCCAACAGGTACTTGTAGTCTCAAAGGCACCGCCGAGCCATCTGTTCGCTGTGATCTGTCCGCTGGACTAGGAGAGAAATCTTCTAGCCTTTCGTACCCGGTTCCGGCATTTGTGCTGCTACTCATCGGACGAACGCCTCCTCCCCCCAGAATACTCCTCCCCCGTGTGAGCGGCCGCGCTTCATCTCCTAAATCTTCTAAATCTGCGGGATCGGGAGGTCGGGTTAAATCTCGTAAAGGTATCGATTGAGGAGGACTTGATGAATTATTGGAACCATAGGTATTATTTGGAGGCATTATGCCCAACTCCCCCTCCTTGGAAGCCCAGCCAATTATCCCTCTACGTTTTCGGATCTGCCGTCGAAGGAATGAATAATCGCGACGGTAGTAATGCGCAAGATGTCCCCCGGGATCAAAGACGTGTGGAACCCTATCGTACTATTCTTCAAGTCGTTATCATAATCGCTGGGACTATATATTTTCTCCTCTATTCGTTGACAATCCGGCAGCCCTCGAGTTCTGTGTTAGTCGATTACGTTGTATTTATTTTTATTTTATTTTTGAGCTTGTTCTCTTGGCCATCAAGGTCTGAGGTTGACTTTTAGACTTTTTGACCTTTAGACATCTGTAACCAAATCCTGAACCTTACACGAGCTTCATTGTTGCACTTGTGCCACAAACAGTAAGGCTCGGCATGCGACAGGGGTAGACGTACGGAGGACTATTTTAAAACAGGGCTCTGTGGCTGAGGAAAAGGTACCGACCGGGCTGAGAGGGGTACAGAGAACGGAGTACAGGTGGAAGGAGAGCAAGGAGAGCACGGATTCACTATTGACCCGATGTTGGGCCACAATAGAAAAGTCTCGTATTGCAATATTATTATTTATAAAGACCTTGGGGGTATAAAGTGTATAAAGTGTATAAAGAGTATTTAAAGATGATGAATAGGAGTTACAACATGACGTGTAACGAGAAGGGGCATATGAGTAATGCGGACAGGCCGAACCATTTGCGTTTGATTGGGTTGGAGATTGGATACTGTGAAACTTATAAGGATCGTATATATCTGTCTCCAAATCTGCGGCGTAGGGCTATGGTGCGTATTGAGCCGAAGTGATTGAAGAAACATATACTCCGTGTCTGTACCATACAATACATACAGTATCTAGGTGCTTATGAATATTATGGATATTATTAGACTATATAAATGATCAATGCTGTTCGACTTGAACGGCATTCGGCAACAATATAGTAGAAATGGCTAGTGCGAATACAAAAGGATAACTATTCTTGAACGTGATTTGTCTAGAACATTGATCGTCACTGCTTAAGCCTCGGAATTTCGGTTTCTTCGGCACCAATTAATTAATATTATTTATTTATATCAACCTCATTGGCCTTTCAGCCTTATGATGCCCCATATAACACACATCGTGAATCAAAGTGACTTTCATTTTGGTGAAGCGATAAAAATACATTAACCGTTTTTCGGATGAACAGGTGTCTCATCATTCTCCTTCCTTGTTGTCCCACGGAGAAAATGGTAGGATCCTGGTTGAATGCTTCCATATAAGGCAAGACATAGACCACTGTACCCCTGGCTACATGCTTCCAAAATACATCATCTAACATATGGGCGCCCGGGGACGAGAGTAACAAGCCGGTTTAACACCAACTAAGCCAATCTTCATACCTGCTCTCTAATGCCCCAATGCCCTCCACTCTTATGAATCCCCAATTGCGGGCCTTTCCAATTCCAAATCAACAACAATGTTAAAATCTGAGCCGCCGTAAAACCAATCAGAATCTTCAACTGTAAATCATATCCCTGGCCAAAGATCTCCTGTACCTGACTCCTTAAAGGCTGTTCTAGGGAAGAAATTGCGGAAGTAGATCATAAAACACTATTCAGCTGAGTAACATTGAGGATTTTGTGAAGATGCTTTGATAAATGATTGTTGGGGACTGTGGTTACAGATGCGAGACCGAGTGTGCTTCCTGTCATACGAAATTGAACGATTGCTCCGGAAGCAGTCGCTAAAATACATGTTAGAGCGGCTTGTTATCTGGAGAGGACGCTGTAAATGAGTGAGGACGGAACGCACCTATGTATTGTCTCTCAATACAATGTGGATTTAATACCAAAAGTATAGCGAAAGAACTGCCCACCCTTAGAGCAATAAGCACCTCGAAGAAATGAATCTGTCCCGGTATCTTTCCAGAGGCGGGAATCGTGAGTAGCAATCCGACGCCGAGCACTTGTGTAGCTGTACCACAGAACAGCAGGTAGATAGGAGGTATTTTGGTTTTGCCGATGATTGTATTCGCAACGATGCTACCAACGGGGACAGCGAGTGTGTATGCTATTAATCGATATCCGGCTTGCCATGGGGAGTCTCCGTATACCGCCTGTGCTTTTTGAGGGATCTCAATAGTGATGATTTGAGATGGAATACCGACGAGGAAGGATGTCCTTGACAGTTATATAATTGTCAGCCACTGTACCTGTGCATTCCGGAATCGCAAGTTGATCATCTGCATAACTTACAAAGCTATCCCCATCCACATTCTATTATCTAGTAAGACCCTGGGGAACATAGGTTCTTGAACGCCCTTGCTGCTTCCTAAAAACCACTCCCATATGGCAAATCCTACCCAAAACAACCCAGATATTGTCAAGAGGCATATAGTCGCAGCCGAAGACCATTTGAAAACCGTAGAGACTTCAAGTAATACTGTTACAAGGAGTGCTGGAGCACTTAATAGTAAAAAGGCACCTGTGAAATCGACCCTTTTCAGCAAAGATTGCCAAGGGATAGGTACTGATGGGGTAGACGATCCGTGATACGGGAATTTCCCAGGGAGCAAGAAGACAATCAATCCGAGAATAATAGCTGTCCCAATCACACTGCCCTTTATATTAGCTGAGTAAACACGGAGGAGTCATAACGGAACCTACTTCAAGAAGAATATCCATCTCCACGTAGAAGTGGTATCAATTACACCACCTACTAGCGGTCCAACGAGAGCGCCAACAGCACTCAAAGTCGATATGAAACTCCCGTACAATGGATACTTGGGTGGTGGAATAAATTGGTAGAAGATTGTTAAGGAGACCGAGAAAGCGCCAGAGGCACCGAAACCTTGAAATGCACGACAAATAATGCTAAATTGAAGACAGATGATAAGTTGATGCATGTAAATTCTCGAGCCATGGAATGTGTGAAACCCTACAGTTGTAACATAGATTGAGCCGCTCCGCATCCAGCTGAGAAGGCAAAGAAGATGAAGTTTGCTGCAACATAGGTCCATTTTCGACCAAAGACGTCACTTAGTCTCCCCCATATAATCAAAAACCCTAGAAGCTAAGATGTTATTCACGTCCAATCGTGGAATATGCCTTTCCTTATTGTTCGAACTTATCCCAGTAATAAATAGGAGCTCCAAGTTGTATGCAAGAAATGGAGAAGAAAGCTCAATTACCTGTGTAAGTGGCAAGGTACGCTGTGATAACCCAAGTGGATTCGTTGAAGCCATGAAACTCGTTGGCCATGGTCACGAGTGAGGTACTTACAATGGAGACTTCCATGTTTACAAGAAATACACTCAACCCGATCCTATATTGTATTCCATTGATGATTAGAAGGTCTTTTTTCTCTGAAAGTGTTTCTGCCTACTTACGCGGGACTTATGAGATGGAATCTCCATCCCTTGATATAAGTGATCTCTGGACTCGGCGAAATTGACTTTCTCTCCATAGGGCTCTCCCCCCCTGATATGTCTTCTTGAACAGAACCGGTCTCCAAGTCTGTGACCTCCATTTGTTTGTTCGAGGGAACGGCCATCTTGCAATGGAAAAGTTGTGTTAGCACAGTGAGAAACAAGGAGATGGAAAATCCTGAGCACAGCCACTTTCCGGATTATCTATGCAGAAAGTAGCTGGTCAAAGTGTAGACAGCATCAATTGATTTTGAACAAAAACATGGCCCTTGAACCTTAGCTTCGCAATTTTTTGAGCCGAAAATTCCAACGGTTAGAACATTCCCTGATGAGGAAGGTTGTAATAATACTACGTATTTCGATATACAGCCATAAAATTTGCTTATCATCACTTGTAGGATAAGATGCGGTGAGAGATATGTTGGAATGAAGTTGGATTGAAAGGCACGAATGCTCGAAGCGGTTCCTGATAAGAGTGATCGAAGGTCTTGTTTATACGCAGGGGTGATTTAAGGATTCTTTCGACAGATCCCCACTGAGAATCTCTCGAGAATTCTTCTTTAGACCTAGGTATACATAGAGAGAGTGAAGGAAAATTCTCTTTTTCTAAGCTGTAGCATCAAACTTGGACCGGGGCCTTCACGATACACACTCACGTCGATTATAAGTACCCGAGTTTGGGATTACCACATAGAACTAACTGTTGGTGGCGAAGCCGAGAATCCAGAAATGCTTCCTTACAGTTTATTGGATATTCCAATATGAAGGCTTCTGAGTCGGAAAGTGTCTCCACTTTGAAAGAGAGGTTGAATTCCACGATGCACATCCTACTGAAACCATGTTCACACACTCCCCTTCGACCCTCAAGCAGTCATAGTCTAATCCACTGCCGGGCTCCCAGAAGGACAGCACATAGCGAGCTTCTGCCAAATATGAATGAATATTATGAATATGTATTTATATACCATGACGAAAGTTCTTATATTTCCTCTACGGATTTACGTTGGTGATTGTTGGTACGAGAAGGATACGGAAGACGTAGCACCCACGGATTATGTAGGTCCTGTATGTCTAATTGTATTCTGTCTAAAAAGCTAGCTACATATTGAAAGTAGTAAGTCTTATATAGACTTACTAAAAGAGCTAGTCTCTTTCGCGTTCGCTTAGTTCTTTATTACAGTAGTAATTGAATTGAAGTCATTTACTTCGTTCACACAGTGATGGTCTAGATTGGTAAATAGTGGCAGAATTTGGACAAAAGCGGTGAGTCAAATTTTGTTCAATCAATAATGTTCATGCGACATCAATCCGTTCCAAATCAACGTGAGTATTCATTTACACCGCTATCCTCTCATATTTCTATCGGTCTCAATCATCCCAAGTCACTGATTTTGTAATCAAAAACTCCTCCATCCCAAGGACGGTATTAAATCTACCCCAACCACTCTTCTTCACGCCTCCCATTGGCAAAGCAGGCTCATCTCGAACACTCATACTATTGATATGAACAGCCCTATAATGATATCGTCAGCTATAACCTCACAAGTGTGACGTTCTTGGAAAAACTCACCCAGACTCCAATTGCTTTGCGATGGCAAAACCTTTTCGCAAATCTTGAGTAAACACGGCTGCTGATAGCCCATACTCGGTATCATTTGCCATTTCTATAGCTTCTTCATCAGACTTGACAATTCTGTATGCTACCACAGGCCCGAAGTTTTCATCACGCCATAATGGCATGTCTTCTTTTATATCTCCAATGATCATGGGTGTAAATATTACTGGAGATGGTCCATGGCTTTCCTTTGGCTGTAACTCTTCCGTACCTCCAATAAGACTAGAAGCTCCTTCTGAGAAAGCTTTTGAGACTACCTCCTGCAATCTAGCTTTTGCAGCAGCATTGACAACAAGTGGTGGATCAGGCGCTGATGATGCAATAGCGGAGAAAGTTGCTTTCAAAATCTCCAAGAATTTGTCTGCTATGTCGGCGTGAATGATTATACGATCTGTCGACATGCAAATCTGACCAGAATGCAAAACACCTCCAAGGATACATTCCATGGCGGCTTTTTGTAAGTCAGCGTCGGCACATACGATCGCACTGTTCTTTCCTCCAAGCTCCATCAAGCATGGTTTAAGGTTCTCTCCGCAAGTACGAGCGATCTTGCTGCCTACTTCCGTGCTTCCTGTAAAATTTATCTTCCTCACTGCCGGGTGTCTTATTATGGCGTTTGTGACCATTGCACCGTCGGTTGATTTGACATAAATAATGTTCAGAACACCCGCTGGTAACCCCGCATCGTGGAATACCCTTCCTAATGCCCAATAACATCTAGGTGTCAATTCAGAGCCTTTGAGCACTGTTGTGTTCCCAGTCGCAATTGCGGTGGCTGCCGCGCGCATGCCTAATGCAAATGGCGCATTGCTTTCAAGATGGATTAGCTGTGAAAATGGTGATCGAAGGCGGAAAAACTCACAAAGGCGCAATTCCTAAGATCACCCCATATGGTTCTTTCCAGATCATAGCACTTTGTCCCTCACCTGCAACTCTAGGAACACTACCAGTCACCAAGGGAATGTGACTTGCAATATCTCGCAGGAGTGACACAGCAGTAGGAAGAATCCATCCTTGGACCGGCCCTACCGCTCCACCCATTTCTGTTTGCATGATGTTTCCATACTCTGTTATCCGACTCTCCAAAAGATCCGCTGCTTTAAAGAGTAGTTTTTGCTTCTCCGATGGTTTAACCTTGGACCAGGAAGGGAAAGCCTTCTTTGCAATTTCGACAGCTCGAATTGCATCTTCAGAGCTTGCTGATGCTGCTTTCCAGCAGACTTCACCAGTTGTTGCACTCACGACGTCGAATGTACTGCTGCCATTCTCTTCTTTTCCGTCAATGATTAAGGGAATCACGAGATCTGGTTCGGATACAGCCATATTGTGTATAGATGTGCAGAATGAGAAGTGTCTTGAAATTAGAGGTACTTGGGTTCGCAGGTAGCAACCCACAGCTTAAGAACGATTATTATACTTGGAAAGTGGGGTGCCTTATGCGAGATTATGGCTCAGCTGTTGGTACTTGTTGGTTTATCCATGCTCAATAATGCATATGCATGATAGCCTGACATAATATGTAACATCTTGGTGGTAATGTTGCACTAGATATTGCCCTGTATATCGCAGGGGCGCAAGCGGTAACGAGATGCGATGTATTCCCAAAAAGTCTGGTATTTGTCACTTTCATTCATGTTAGAAGTTAAGTAAGCAGTTTCTTACTTTTTAGTGCTGTAAGCGGTTGCTGAGGCTTCGTAACAGGTTTTGCTAATATTCTTGTTGATTTGACGAGTGTTTTCAATGATTTAAAATTGATCTCAGAAGCAAATTTATGACTAGTTTGGTTCTGGAAACTCTTTTCATATGTTACTCTTCTTATCTTCGTCCTCGGATTCCAGCAATATTTTATTTTTCCAGAGAACACAATTGTCAGTCACAAATCGTGCTCGACCTCTTCTAGAATCTTGTCATGCCTATCAGTCTAGTGATACCACCGTGGAAATACAACAGCCCTACAGGACTCCGTCTCATCTTTCCCCTTCTTCATCACTCCATGACCCCTGGCCCTCTTATCCTCCCACCCCGTCCTTCAAACCAGCACCTAAGAAATCCCCTCACCCGTCCCATTAGCCCACTTTTCTGCCCACTCCTTCACGTCCTCAAAACTCCTACAAACCCTCTCGCTTCCCCATCCCGTCGTATCATCCGTCACTGGATCAACATATTCTAGATTCGAATCTGCGGCACACATTATGGCGCGGCGCAAATAATCGAAACAATGCCTTTGATGTGCGGTTTCAATATGTGTATGAGCGGCTTTTTGTTCAAGATATGGATCTGGCGGTGCACCGGCTGTGCGCGCAATTTGGTAGTGCAGGTCGTAGTAGGAGGTGCGGAGACCATGCTGGGAAAATTGTTAATGGTGTCGCGATATGGAGGACTGGAAGACGTGGAAGGGAGGGGTTTGGGGTATTAGAGGAAAGGAATAAATACCAGACAGTGCAGTTGATGGAATACTGAAACACTCTTAACAATCGGTGCTATCTCAGGTCGATAGATGAATCCTCTGCTCACTTCAAAGTTGACAGTTAACAGAAAGAATGCTGGGATGGGCAATATGTAAATACTAACCTGGCATTAAAGATCCCCAAGCAGCTTCCAAATCAGGCGTCGGTTTCATCGAGAATGTAGTATTAGGATACCAAGTTTCTTTTATTGATCCAGGAGGTACTGTATTTCACTCACACTCATCAGCCAATATCCAATACCCAATCTCTATGTTCAACCCAACATCAAAACAGCACATCGCACGCTGCCGCACACTTCATAGAATCTCCAAAGTCTCATCCCAACATCATCAATTACAACGTACCCAATAGTTCCAATTTCCTCTCCAACCTCGGAAACCTTCGTCCAACAGCAGCTCCTACCCCGAAAGACATCAGGGATAAAAACACAACAATAAGTATCTGTACCCATCCTCTTTTTCGTAGTGGGGTTCGAGTACTGTCTCTTGTTATAGCTGCATGTTTTTGATTCTGGTTATCCACTTCATCTTTTCCTGTGCGCAATTCTTTGTAGCCGGCAGGACTACGTGGGCTGAGTGGCAGTGGCATTTTGATATATCTTCTGCGCTTGACTTGAGCTGCTCTAAATTTCCTCTCTTCTTTTTCCAAAGTTTTGGAAAGGTTTTTAGGAACTAGATCGCAGTCCGACTAGCTACTCGCTCGTTTGTTGAGTAACAATCCAGATCCAAAATCTCTTCTAATCTCACAACAATAATAATTTCATGAATTGGTATCGTGATCTAAGCCAATTGCACCCAGTAGGCATGCCAAGTGCAAATATTCAATTGGGATATTCTTGAGCAGTGTTGGAATCCCAACAAAGGACCTTTTGCCTATGGTTCATAATTTGCAGGTGTTGTTGGGTTGGACAAAGGGGCTTTTGGTATAATTTCTTGATATAGGCTTCAGTAGGAATTGAGAGGCTTTATTGGAGAGGGGTTGGATATTAGAATATTGGAGAGGGGACTGACAGGCTTTCCGTGGTCTGAGTATGGGTAGGAGGCAGAAGAGAAAAACATTGGTTGGGTTACTTATTGTCAGAAGGGTTGTCGGGTGATGGGTTTAATGTTACCTAAGTACTTTAATTTGGATATATTCCATTCATTCACTCATTCACAACCCAAATAATGCAGACAAACAAATGCAATCCACCACACTCCATAGCTCGAAAATCTACCAATATATGTATGCGAGCGCAAATAATCAATCACACCTTTAAAATCACAGAGTATATGAACAGAAAGCATACATGCGAATCAAAAACTCCACATCTCCCCAGAAAAAAGCACCCGTAACACAATACAAAGGGGCTTCGCTAGAAACCTCGTGCAACAAGCACACGTGAGATGAGCGTGCATCAAAAACACCCAATTCGAAAACCTAACCCGAAAAACCAGCACACTGGTGCGTGGAACCGCACTAATCATAAGCGCACTAGGTAACTAAACGGTAATATCCACCACATGTTCCAGCTTCCAAGTACTTTCTAAGCTTCGATTACATCGCCTATCTACCTATCAAGCCATCCTACCTACCACACCTTTCAAACATGTCACTTCCATATAGAACTCATCTCGTGCTCTCCGAATCTCCTCTAGTGCACTAGCACTAGTATTTAAATTCTTTGTCCAGATCATATTATGATCAAGTGACTTTCTCCGCAACAACGGACATAATTGGTTGATCTCCACCAGAACAAAGAAAAAGAATTGGGAATTATTCGAAAACTTTTGTTGCATGTCTGAATTTCAGCGCGAATTTATAAAACTTTTTAACGCGCCGTATGAGTTTAATACCGTTAGTTTCCCCTTCCAATACCAATCATGCTCTGTCAATTCTGTTGTTGTTGCCTCCCCCTCACTTCTTACTTGCCGCTTTCTTACAAATCCTACATCATCGCTTGCCCCCTTCCGCCGGATATCGACATCGTTACTTCATGCGCAACTCGTAGTTTACAATCTTAAGTCACCTAACCCCGCTCAGTCGGATCTCCTCATCCTCACTCACATCTCCTTCAAAGAAACTTCCTCCTCCTCCTCATCTCTTCCCAAATAAATCCAACCCATCCATCCAATTCCGTACACTCATAAGCAGTTGAATGGTAACTTCCACCACTACCCCCTCTAACCACTCTCACCTCCTTTGTCCTTCGTTCACCCAACCCCACCCTAACCTTAAACATCACCAACAACCTCAGTTCCTGACGCTAGAACACTTCGCATTCCACACCAGTATTTAAACTCGCACTAGTAAGGCAGGTAAATAAATAGATGAATACAGAGCTAACAAATGACTGTCAACGGAAATTGCCTTGATCTCGCATTATCAAATCAGGAAGGGGTAGATACATCTTCCATCACAAAACCATCCATTTTCAACCATCTTCAGTAATCAACCCCCTAATATCTCTCACCTGATGTCTCATTCCCCCATCAAACTCTCATCCTAGCATCCCAATATCCCAATTCCCAATCCAAAAATCCGCGAATACGGTACTCGAAAACTCAAAAGTGCTCAAAACCACTTGTATATATTTTCCAGCTCGGCGACTAGAAAATCCTCTCATCTTCTTCTTTCTTTGTCCGACTAGTCTCCTCGGAAGTCATCCGTCACTCATCCTACGTACTATTTCTTCCAGAATTCGTTCTCTCGCGTGATACATTTGAGATATAAGATAAGCGACGCGGTAAGTACCTCGTACTTAGATGACATTAGGCGTATTCGTATACATGAATGTGTAGTAGCGGAATGGAATCAAGATGGTGGGGTGTTGGTTTCCGTAGTTCTTCAGTTCGTGATTCGTATGCCGTAGAACTATCACCATTTTCCTACGATATGCTCTTCCATCCTCATCTTCCTAACGTATATGTATCTTCTTCGTCGTCTTCCATTCAAACATGGTCTCCGTACCATTTCATCGTATATCGTATCGAATCCTCACATTCCACAATTTTTCATTCCATCTCTTCCCTCATCTGTCCCATCACATCATCTCTCCTCTCCCCATATCCTCTTGGCATATCAACTTTCTTTATCCCAACATTTGCTAGAGTTCACTAGTGCAATAATCTGCTAACATCATGCGTAAAAATGGCGTGAAATCTGTTAACTATACTCTTCTGAATCCAGTCTTGTCCAGATGCATTTTTCTCTGATATTCTCTTCTCATCAGCAGATCCTCTATTCTCTTTCTCCTTTTCTTCTTCGATGGGGCATGGCGCAGTAAGGTGATTATATCCCATATCCCATCTAGATGTATTGCGCAGGTAAGTCGCATCTGCCATCAACCATCTGCCATCTCGAAAAGAATCGAATCGACAATCGCTGTATCGCCATCTACCACCTCATTGGCCAGAGAAAACCCCTCAACCAAATACCCTCCTTCCAACAACCCTTCCCTCTCCCCGCTTCCAAACGCCCAACAGACACTCACTTCACTTTCGCAATCGGGAAATATCGGAGTCAATTCCAATCCAACCCGATCTAACTCAAGGCCGACACTTTCTCCTTCTTTCCCTCTTCCAAAAAAGAGCGTAAATCCCTCTCTACCCTTCTCCTCCTCTGCTCCTCCCAGGAACAACCTCGCAATTTATTTTCCTCTTCATCTATCTCCCTAGTACATACATACTTACCCACCTACCTACCAAATCCCCAACTCAAAACCCCAAAATCACAGTTAAAGAAGATTGGGCACGAACGCAAATATTCGTAGGGATGTAATCATAAAGTTAAAGTAGGAAAGGAAGCACGTACCTACCTACCTGCCTACCTACATGTCTATCCGCCCTATACGTGGAGTTATTATTAAAGCGTTCAAAAATCCATTAATCTGCAGTGATGAGAATAAGGAGAAGAATGAGAATGAGAATTTCTCAACGGAAGGAGAAACTATAAAGGTGATTTCTATGAATGATTGAATGATTGAATGATTGAATGATTGAATGATTGAATGATTGAATGATTGAATGATTGAATGATTGAATGATTGAATGATTGAATGAATGAATGAAAAAATGAATAAGTAAAACCGAGAAAACGATATCCAAAGAGCTGATTTGGATCAATTGAATTCAATTCAATTGAAGCAAACCACTTATCCATCCATCTCATTCACCTATTCCAAAAAAAAAAAAAAAAAGTTTGATTCCCCAGCACAGAAGCCAAAGGAAACAAAAGTATATTCTCAAGAAAAAAGACCTCCCTTCCATCCCCAAACATTTCAAGAACAACACCTTCATTTCATTTTCATTTCTCACGACAAACTGAACAAAATTTAGCTTATTCATCAGCTACCCAAGCAACCGGGAGTGAGTGGAAGTGTTCCAGCCCCACTCCTCCTAGCTCATATACCAAACAAATGGAACTAATGGAACTAATGCATATACCCGTAAAGCTGACGCCACACTTTCTATATGTGAATTAGATTGATATGATCGCCCAATAAATGCTTGATGGCACGCTACATTACTTTATTCTACTTCATCGCCTCATCAAAATCAACCTACCTATCCTATCCATAATCAAGTTCATCTAGACCAAAATATGCATGCTCAAAAAGCTCAGATGCAATCTCCAAATGCTCAGAGCAAGCAAAATGTACATCAAAAGCCTCCAGACTAATGTGATACCTGTCGGAGAAAGGTAATGATGTAGAGAGGCTAGACCAAAATCCACATTCCAGTAATCCTAAAACAGCAATCTTGTGCAACCACAGCCAGTTCGCAACATTCCTCGCAACTTGCCGGTTTATGGATACCTAGCGTATTAGGAATCTACAGAGACCGGAGAGACCTAATATGCAACAGTAATTTTCCTTGCCACTCAATGAATGTACCCTTCAAGCTGCGAACTCTCTGCTCTTGCATGCGCGAACTGGTGGGGAAGTGCACTCACCATGCATGGTTCATTAAAAATAAATGTATCCTGGGCTTGTTTGTATTTAGCCTCGACCAGAGCCATCTCTGATTTGTGCAGAATATAGTGTTGTGATTGAATTGAATTGATGTCCTGTTGGGTAGTAAATAATGCAGGGTTACATAGAGAGATGCAACTTGATATAGATTTCTGAGACAAATAAGATAATCATCTTTTGACTACCTTTTTCCAGTTTCAAAGGACTGGAGAAATCGCAATTTCAAAATCGCATGCAATTCATATGAGGAATAGACGCGCTTTTGGAAGGTTTGTAGATGTGCTTATGTGATGTGACTTTGAAGTGGTCGAAAACAGTGATTGGCTGAAAACGGTTCTTTGCCCAATTCATACGCTAGCTTTCATCACTACCCATCTCTCGAATACATAAAGACCTGCCCAAATCCTTTCTTTTGATTTATTTTTCAAAACAAAGGCTCTTACACGGCTAGAATATCGTCGCATAGAGCACGAAAAGTTGTTGCTTACTTCAACAGCAACTTCACCACGACTGCAGCAGAAGACAAAGAAAATTATTTTCTTGATACTATTGCAACCTTAGAGCCTCTGAATCAATATTAGGGGTACTCATCACTGGAAACTTGCATTTAATTTGCTTGACACCACGGTTCCAGAACATAAGCCTCCGAAGGAAAGACGGCGCGGCCTGCAGGAAGCCACAGGTTCATCCCAAACTTTCTGATACTGCACGGTTGTGAGAGAAAAGGGGAATGATCCCACTTGAATCACTTTCTCAGACCTCAACCTAATTTTGGGACTTCAGATGAACCATTTACTCTTCAAAGAACTTCTTTGGAATTTCTAGAACTTTGAAAAGGAACATCTTTTGGTCTCACTTGCTTCTTACGATCCTTCTCTGGCCGAGGTTCAGGAGACATTCATCAACAATTGCAAAAGTGACAGCAAGTAGTCCATATATCCCACCACACAGTAGGGGACAAAAGTTGAAAGCGGGCCTCCAACAATTCAACAGTACTGTCACAATAGATTGGACGAGAATTCACTTAATTGCCACAGCCTCCTGTGGCTAATCGTCTGGCTGGTGAATATTCTGCACTGGTAGAAGGCCATTTATAAGCTAGTGACCAACATCTCCAAAAGTCGACTTCCTTCTTTCCACCGAATTTCCGAAGCTTCCACACCAGCGATCAACATGACGTTATCACCGCCGCCATCAAGAAGTAGCGAAATGTTTCAACATGATCTTCATCATTTAGTAGCACATAATGCGAACACATCTTATCCGCAACCAAAGTACGAGCAAGATGAAGGCATACATATGCAGACACGTTACGGCTCGCCCCTTTCGCACGAAGATCAATTCGTGCGCACTCGGCAACAGCAGACGAGCTATCCATACCAGCATCAACATCAGGACTCCGGATTAGGGATTCAATATGTGAGTTGCTGAGCAAGGCTTACCCACTTTTTCCAAACTAATTGTTGATTAGGAGTATCATGATTTTCAGACACCCATGTATCAGGATCAGTACAGTACTCCAGCCAGTTCACCAACTCCTTCATCCCAAGATATGATCAGAACGAGAAGTGGTCTTACGATTCAAAGAGGTGGACAACAAACGTTGAGGCCTATGCCTGAAGGACGTCATCGCGCAGAAAAATCGCCCAAAATGAAGAAGGCTAAAAAAGAAAAGGTGAAAGCCGAGAAAAAGGTGGCCAAGCTGGATAAGCCGTTGAGCGAGCTTACTAAAGATTGGAAACACGTTCCAGTCGCAGATATCGAGACATACGTGAATAGGTCGGCTGAGGAACGACGAAGGGAGGTAGACGATGGCAAGGTCCCAGGGAAAGTGAAGAGACCAATGAATTCTTTCATGCTTTACCGCAAAGCATATCAAAATCGCACCAAGGATTGGTGTTTACAGAATAATCATCAAGTAGTGTCCCAGGTTTGTGGTGACAGTTGGCCCTTGGAACCCGAGGCTGTAAAAGAGCAGTTCAGTGAATGGGCTAGGATTGAGAGAATTAATCACCAAAACGCACATCCGGGATACAAATTTTCTCCAACGAAACCTGGCGCCGGCAAATCCTCCAAAAGGAAGATGTCTGAAGATATCGCTTCCGATGATTCAGAATTGACTGATTTTGATTGGCAAGGAGTAGGTCAGTCAAAGAAGAGACGGAACCTTCGGAATCCACCACGACCCATGCAGCAACAGCCTGTCATGTATCCTTCGACAAGATCCGCATACCACTACTCTTCACGCGAACATTCTATGGAGCCGCACTACGGCAATTATAACAAATCCTCGTATCAAATAGCAAATCCAGGAAAGCAACCTCCTGCTCAGTATAATCAAGCAAACATGCAAGGAGAGTATTATCAACAGACCATTCACAGTAACCCCTTGGTAGCCGGCGTTGAAGACGTCATCATCAAGAAGACCCCAGCTCCAGGAGTTCACTCGTACCAAGTCAGTATTCCGGGAGGACATGAGTTCGATATAATGCACCCACAGCCACACTATACACCCTCGCCGGCGCCGGATTTTAGGATAGATCCTTCTTTGATGACCCAAGATCATGGCCAATACGACAATACCAACTATCATGAATCCCATCCTGATGGAGTGTATTTTGATAGTAATCATGAAGCTGAGCAAGCATGGCAGGCCGGGTACGGAATGAATGATAGAGAAATGGATCCTGCTCTTCATTATCTCCCTGAACAGCATGTAGACAAAGGGCAGATCCATGATCAACACATGGATGTCTTGCGGGGACACCAAGAAGGGTGGCAGATTGAAACACTAGATAGTGGCCGAGAATTCGACAACTGGATGGGAGCCGGAGAGGAATAAAGTGATCGAATGTTGATGGAGTTTGGGCGGGTTGCTCGTGTACATGTTTTCTGGGATGCATTGGGTATGGAGAAGGAGGTCTCATTATGTGCATTTCTCGTGGTGTTGGCGTGTGGTTCGATAGTCTGACAATTTCCTTGTGTATGGAAAAGTTCGGCGATTTTTGCGAACATAAATCTCTCCATGATGTAGATAGGGATGGACGTTTTGCCTCATATACAGCCACATAAATTGGAGCTGGTATCAGGGATGTCCTATTCATAAATCCTCCCGTGAACTTTCACGAAGCAATCTGGTTACTTACCATATCTTGCTATATTGTATATGATTGAGGATATATGGACAAGGGGTTTGTTTAATAAGGAGGGCTGACGAGCGTTAACAAAGACATTGTCATGCAGGTTTCCGTTCTAATCCCATCTTATTGTGATTGATGTACCTTCTTAAAATTGCTAGACGTGAATGAATTCCCAAATGAAAACTGCTCATTGGCATAATTGAGTCCTTCGTTGTAAATCATATACCTAATAGTGGGCATTAAGAATATACTTGAAAAAATGTTAGAGCGTTCAGATGAGTGCAGTGAAGTGAAGAACATTAGTTTCGAATGCAATGTGGAACTAATTTTAGATGCCAAGACCCACTTTTTCGTGTTGCGACTTTTGGATATGTTTCTTTGCTTCTTCACGACTTCACAAACAGATTACCTCAATGAGTCCAGGGCGATATTTAAATAAATAAGGTACATAGTAGAAAATGTACGGAGATGTAGGGAATAAATTGGTGAGTCATCTGTCGCCTACCAATAAATCTTCTAGCTAACAATATCCAGGTTCAACATGCCAAAAGAACTCAAAAGCTCGAACACCTGCCCCCATATCAGACAGAGATGGTCCGCGCAGTCACTAGAGAAGTTAGAGACTTAGATAAAGATGCTTCAAATATTTTACAATCAATCGGTGGTTCCTTTGACCCATCTGCCGATCCTGCGACAGCATGCACTCTCCTCGTTGATCACTTGTGTATGCGAAGGAACAAACGTTGTCTTCTTGCCTACCACCGTACACGAACAGACAAGCTTGAAGAAATGGTTTGGAATGGCAGTGACGTATTGGATCTAGCTGCGCAGCAACATCGAGTTACAAATGAGGGACAGAACGGAGGTGCTGATTTGGGGAGTGGTGAGGGAAATACCAGTAGTCTAAGCCCGGAAGAGGAAGAATACGTGAGGCAATATAGCGATTTACTTGCTGCGTTTAAAGGACACTGGACTGATATTGATCTTACCGGAAGTCTTGAGCCTCCCAGGGATTTGTTCATCGACGTTCGGGTCCTCAAGGATGCCGGGGAAATCCAAACAGAATATGGGTAGGTGATACACACAAATTATATGGACGTTGACTGATTTGATTACAATGCAGTACCATCAACCTTACCAAGAATTCGCAATTTTACGTGCGCCAAGGTGACGTCGAACGTTTGATCGCTCAAGGATATCTTCAAAAGCTCAGCTAAACAGGAGCTTCCACCACACGACTGTGAAGCCAATACATACATCACACGGTGATGTTTGTTAAATTCATCGAACAAAATGGATGAGAAAAGTCCATCAAACATTTGCGGGAGGTGAATGGATTGGATGTCAATGAAAAAGACTAGAGTACAGAGCGCTCTCCACCCATGGGACAACACGGCTCTGTGCTCAGCAAACCTAGCCCGTTGAGGAGAAAGACCCTATTGCGGCCGGTGCCGGAGATTTGTGGGTTAGTGGGGTCCCCTATTCTCATCCAGGCCCAAAAACGGTGAATAGGAGTAAGAGAAGGCGACGAGGAATGTGCAGTTTACACGACGACATTTTGTTATTTCTATTACGATATAAATACCACACGAAGAGTGAAAGTATTATTGTATAATTTCAGGTGGGAGACAAACAACAAAACTTTTCCGTAACCAAGCTTCGGTGCGGGGTACATTAAACGAAAGGGTCTTGTGTAAAGAAAGGTACCAGAAGATCTCTGGATGATCGTATTCTGAAAATACCTCGAGTTGAATTGGGAAGCTCCTATTGGATATGATGAAAGCTTCTATGGTGGCTGCTGAGTGGGAAACCTTCTCATGGTCGTACAACTTGCTTCTGCGCTGTAAATTTAATAGCCGGCATGCATCGATTGACAGGTTGACGGTCTCTAGGTAATCAGTTTGTACCTTGGCTTTACCTAAGAATTGAGTACGAAAGCGGTATTTCACATTGGAGCACTACTGCTTGTATTGTACAAGGCCACTTCTTCGGAAGATAGTTTTGATCAGTTAGGATTGAAGTATTCATGACCTGAGAAGTGACATCTCGTTCGTGACCAAACATAGCTAGGTATTATAAATTCTAATGGGTTTTGAGTAATATAAGATTGATATAGTAGTGCGGTGTAATGGAGTAACAGTGAAAGCAAATAGCATGGCAAACTCTTGGCTATGGCTCTGGCGCAAAAGAGGATGGGTTGGCAACGGTTTTCGCAACACCTACAAATGGAGGTTTGTTCTGGTAGGAAATATAATAGTATTGGTAACATGAATGGATGTGAGTTAGAATCTGGATCGAAGACTCTAATTACTTAAATATTGATAATAAAAATGATAATCAAGATAATCGAGATGATCAAGATGATCAAATATAGACCTGCAGCAGCAGAGATAAAGAAAAGGTAGGTATCAAATTCATATACAAATACAAAGCGTACTCTGTATACCTAGCAGTGACACAAATTCCAAATTCCCATGATGTGATGGATACAGCATGGAAAAGGATTGGAGCAAGGCGCATACCGAATTTATGATCCTCGAGATTTTAAAGTGGTGCAAAAAGATAAACAGAAATATTCCGGTGGGGAGAAATGATGTGACCCCACCTTTTTTCCCTATTATAACCTTATGGAGTTAAGTCCGCGAGTTTAATGTATGAAGCATGAAGCATAGAGCACAAAGCACAAAGCATACGGAGTAAAAATAAAAATACGATCGAGACTCTCTTCTAGGCTCTACCCGACTAGGTAAATTTCCACCGCTCCATTCTCCTCCTCTCTCCAACTTTTTTTAAGCTATTCTTGTGATTCCTCCTGCATCCGGTGAACGCTGGCTGCATCCCGATTCCATCATCTGTACTGTCAAGGTATGAGTGGAGATATTTTGATGGATATTCCAATTTGGCTTATGCAAGCTATGATGCATCCCAGGAAAAGCTGTTCCCCTAGTGAATGTGAAGTTTCTTACCGAGCACGCAAACGTACGGAGAAGGGAACCAATCTACACACTTCTTTTTTTTCTTTGATGCCATTTTCTTCTGGGCTAGCAAAACCTTCCATTACTTCATGCATACTAGAACTTTCTACATATTGTAACATAATTGTATTTCCACATATTTTTATTTTAATTTTAATTATTTTTATTGCATTAGTGTATTGTATTTTCCAATCCAAAAGTCCAAAAGTCCATACGTCCAAACAATCACATTGATTCATTTGTTCATTCAATCTGATATCTCCACCTACCCACCAAGTATTCAAACTACAGGGAAATTCCCAGGCTTGAGCCATCAGACAGACTACTTTTGGAACTAAGGGGAAACTAGTAGCTAGATCTTATCTACAAAGTAGACTTTCTGAACTTTTCCATAATTCATTTTTATTCGTCAATTTCATTTTGCATCATTACAATATCTTCCCCCGTAGAACTTGCTTCTACGCTCTGCGAGCGTGAGGCAGATACGAAAATTTGGATACCTAGGTAGCTTACCACATATCGCTCTGTTTTTCTTTCTTACCTCTTACCTGCAAAAATTGCAATAATGTCTTTCCCCTCACCGGCTTCAGGGCCAACTCGGCGTCGTGGAGATTCCGTCTCTTCATACTCAAGTCCCCGCCTCATCCCTCGTGCTTCTCCTACCCAAGATGGCGTCTCCAATATGCCATCCGATGTGAATCACGGCTCCTTTCGAGGCCAATCGACCCAGCAAAATACGACTGCTAATATTACCGGCACTTCACACCAATATCAACCTACACGTTCTTTTGTTCATCTCTCCTATCGTGGAGACCCAGGTAAGTGTCACCTCATACTTCAGATGAGATATCGCAATTGATCATCATCTGACATCATCGCAGCACCGGTAGACAGCGCACAGTATGCCCGCAGTGTTAGAGAAGATACCGCCGAGCTTGCATCATATGCCCTGTCCGACACACCAGCCGCACTTCCTCCTTCCCCTACCCGACCACGTACCACGCAAATGCACCTCGAATCATACTTCAATGGAGGTGAAGAAGAGTCAAGGCCGAACCGAGAAAGTGAACCCTCACGTCACGAAACTATAGAAGAAGTGTCTGAGCCGGTCACTCCAGAGGAGCGCTCCTCGAGCAGCCTTCCACAAAGTGCATCTGGTATAGCCAATATGCTCAGATCCTCTCCTCCAAGTACATCACCACCAAATACAGACGGAGCATCAGACTATGGAGCCATTGAAAATAGTCATGATGATACCGATTCGCCGAATGGTCGTCTCATAATTACCTCACAAGGTGTCAAGATGGACTCGACGGAGCGCACACCCTTACTGTCTAAAGTTTCATCCTCGCATTCACATCCCCATTGGACCAGAGGGAATCAGGATCTTGAAAGTTTACATACGAAAAAAGTACCAAACTTGGCCAAAAGCTACGGAATGCCTTGAAATCGACCCAGAGAACGAAGCACTACCCGTTGTTGAAACTGCCTTCAACCCCAAGCGCTGGGATAAAAAAGCAATATGGAAAAATTGTGTTATGGCACCAGTTCAATCTCTTCCATCAGTACTTTTAGGAGCGCTTCTCAATATCTTGGATGCGTTATCATACGGAATGGTATGTTTAATTGCTGCTTATACAGATTACACAAGACCTGAAGTAACAGTGAAGTAAGCCCAATCCAAGGGCTTACTTCTTCTATTACTTTTACTTTTACCTTTCATTGCCCCAACCCAAGCCATTGAGCCCTCAAATTCAAAAACTCATACTTGAATTATGCCTATTACATGCTGACATTTCTTTCTATAGATCTTATTCCCTCTAGGACAGCCAATCTTCGAAAAACTTGGTGCTGCTGGAATTTCCATATTTTATGTGAGCACAATCATTTCACAATTAGTGTTCTCATGCGGTATGAGTACATTCAAAGGGGGTATTGGTAGTGAAATGATAGAAGTAGTACCATTTTTTCATAAAATGGCGTTTACGATAATGGAAGTCGTTGGCGAAGATAATGCCGAAGCCGTCATCGCGACCACTATCACGTCATATGCGATTAGTTCCATTTTGACAGGTCTTGTATTCTTTTTGATGGGAACCTGTGGCTTTGGTTACATCGTTGGATTCATTCCCAGGCACATACTCATAGGATGTATTGGTGGTGTTGGTTGGTTCCTCATCGCTACTGGGTTTGAGGTCACAGCACGCCTTGATGGAAATTTAAATTACGACTTAAACACTCTGAATAAGATGTTTGAGTCTGATACAATTGCTTTATGGGCTATTCCTTTCGCCATAGCTCTATTTATTGTTTGGTCACAAACCAAAATTACCTCGAAGTTTTATTTATCCGCCGTTATAATGGTCATTCCAGCAGTATTTTACTTCTTCGTCCTTTCATTGGATGAGTTGGAAATACCTAATTTACGTCAGAAGGGTTGGATTTTCGAGGGACCTGAAGCTAATGAGCCATGGTGGTATTTTTGGACCTTGTACAAATTCCATCTTGTACGTTGGGACGCCATTATTGAAACAGTCCCTGCCATGTTTGCTTTAACATTTTTTGGACTTTTACATGTTCCTATCAATGTTCCCGCATTGGCCATCAATGTTGGAGAGGATCATCTTGACTTGGATCGAGAACTAATCGCACATGGTGTCTCAAATATGCTATCTGGATTTGCTGGAAGTGTTCAAAATTATTTGGTTTACACCAATTCGATACTTTTCATGAGATCAGGTGGTACTCGTCTGGCTGGTATTTTACTTGCCGCCGCTACTTTCGGTATTCTAGTGTATGGACTCATCTTAATCGGGTACATACCCGTCATGATGGTTGGGGCTCTCATCTTTGTACTTGGATTCGAACTTTTGGTTGAGGCAGTTTGGGTACCAAGGAAGAAGTTGAAGTCCCTTGAGTATTTGACAGTAAGTTATGATCGAGGGTATTCCTGCTCGATTCCTATCACGTTAAATGTTCATATATTTTTCGATAAAAGCTAACATATCTAGGTATGCGTAATAGTGATCACAATGGGTGTCTATGATTTCGTTGCTGGAATCTTCATTGGCATTGGCTTGGCCTTTGTATCATTTGTAGTCCAAACCTCCAGGATCCCTGCAGTTAGAGCATCTTACTCGGGTGAGATAGCTGGATCCACTGTTCGTAGAAACGCTACTCAATCCCGCTACCTTCGAGATGTTGGTCAACAAATTCACGTTACAAAGTTGGCTGGATACCTTTTCTTTGGTACTATCGTTAGTGTCGAGGAACGTATCCGTGCATTAGTCGAAGATGAAGCATTCACCGAAAGACCCATCCGTTTCTTGATATTCGACCTTTATCATGTGACGGGAATTGATTATTCCGCTGCAGAAGCGTTTCTTCGGTTGAACCGCATTTTCAGCAAGAAAGGCGTTACCTTATGTCTTAGTGGAATTGATTCTGAAGGTCCTATAGGTAGTCATCTTAGATCAGTTGGTCTTGGTCAAGGTCAAGTAATTGAAGATGGTAATGAGGTAACATTATTCGAGGATTTGAATTCCGCATTGGAAAGTTGCGAAAACGAATTACTGAAAACACTTTACGCTAGTCAACAAGCTCGAGCAAATCGAAATGTAACCTCAAATCAATTAGAAGTACCTACAAGTCGAAACAGTCGGGGTAAATCATTCTCACATTCTTTCGACACTCAATTCGGTTCTCCAAGACGTAGTCAACTTTTTCGAATGGCTACTAATGCTTTGGAGGAAACTAATGTACCTGATATTAAATATTCTAATTTTAAGGAACCCCTTCGCTTAATTCTTCAAACCTTTCAAGGTCTCACCAAAAAGAATGAAGATTTCTGGTTTCGCGTTGTTCCTTTTTTCACTCGTAAAGAATATCCCGCAGGATCAACACTCTTCCGTCGAGGTGAACCAGCAAAAGGTTTCTATCTTCTCGAAGAAGGTATCCTCCGAGCCGATTACGAATTACCTCAAGGACGTTACTTTGAAAGTATCGTTGCGGGAACTACATGTGGGGAATTACCATTTTTCTCCGAGACGGATCGTACGGCAACGGTTGTGGCGGAAAGAGATTGTGTGGCTTGGTTAATGGAGAAGGTCGATTGGGAATTATTGCAGGAGAAGGATAAGGAGGTTTCGCAGGAATTGTTGAGGATTGGTTTGAAGTTGACGAGTGAGAGGATGGGTGCTATTACGAGTTATGTTTTGACTACTGCTGGGTAGAGGGTGGGGGAGGGGGTGAAAGGGAGGGGAGGGCAGGGGATGGAATTTGATTATTATGTGAATGTAGTGGTTTGGTTGTTGGTGGTGGTTGTATTTAATGGATGGGTGAATTGATTGATTAATTGATTGATTAATTGATGGGCGGGTGGATAATGCGCGTATGCGCCCATGACGGTATCCCCACCATGAGGAGTATTTATTCTCTTTTTCCTTGTGAGTATTGGTTCCCAGTACATTATAGTATAGTATATGCCTAGATATATCATATATATATACATGTATGAAGGGAGGAAAGGGAGGAGGGTTCATAGGTACAAATAGGTATAGGTACTCGAAAATTTTTGATAATTTGGGTGCTTCTTCTTTTTGGGATGGGAAAATGGGAATGGAGATGGGATTGGATTTTTAAAAGTAATGGCGTGGTATGGGGTGGAATGGAGTGGAATGGAAAATAGAGTGGAATTTTAAGGGGGATGGAAAAGTATTTAAAAGTAGTAAAAGTAGTAAAATGAAATGGAATGGAATAGAGTGAGTGCAATAGTTTTGGCGTTTTGATTGGGTTGTGAGTGAGTGAGTGAGTGAGTGGATGAATGTGTAAAGGCTGGAGGTTGGAGAAGGGGATGAATATATTGTTATTTATGAGTGAGTAAGTGAGTGATTGAATGATGTATATATAATGTGATAAAATGGATATGGATATGGATACGAAGGTAGATGTGGATGTGGATGTGGATATGGGGATGGAGACGGAGATAATATAAGGTATTTAATGGTTGAGGGTAGATTTGGAGTAGGTTTGGGATAAATTTGGGGTAGATTAAAAGAAAGAGATTAATAAAAAGGGCTTGGGAGAAGGGGAGGGAAGTGGAGGAGGGTTGGTGGGCGAGAGTGGGGGGTGGGTTGATGGGGATGTATGTGTCACGATTCACCATTAGGATGAGTGTCCTAGGATAAAAATGAATCACGTGATAAGGAGCCCTGAGGAGCCAGAAAGCTCCTGGAGACTCCCTTTATCGTTCATTATATAGTTAGAGTAGTTTCATAGTTTAGGAGCTTCGTGCTCAACTTAGTTATCAATTAGTTTACCTACATTCTACTTGATCTAGCAACGACTTCACTTCCAAGTGAATACCAGTGATAAAGCCTTAACCCATAACTACCAACCAGACGAAACCTTAGGCAGCCGCTGCCTCCAGCACAGTATCGTTACAGTATATTTGATTTTGTTTATAAAACTTTTATTTATATTAGATATAATTATATACTTTTATAAAGATGATACAGTCTTACTTGCTCATATATAGGATTATTGCGATATTTTATTTTTGTATTGATATTATCAGGAAAGGTATGCTGATTCTGTGGCGTAAATTATTTGTTACGTCGGACTCCACAAAGCCCATTACCACGTGATTAAATCACGTGATGGACCCTACATAATATGCACGAAAAATAAAGGTCCAACATATTCTTAGGTCCAGGACCTTTCGGGATCCTGAAGGTCCATAGCATGAAGGTCTATATAGTCAGGACGAATTTCCTTTGTATAGAGCTTCGTGCTCAAGATCAATCATTTAGTATACTCTACTATTAGTTACGAATTGCATATCATCATTGTCATTACCTTAAGTCCCTGCTTGACGCCTAGTTATAAACTACCTCGAGAGCCTAGAGCACTTCCACGTGATCTAGACGGCAAACCTCGTAACACAAATAGAGTATAATAAATTTTTATGTCCAATATTAGCTCCATTCTTGATGAAGATTTCAGTAATGGGAAGAAGTTCATAAATGCTTAACTGCTTCCAATTTGTCAATGAGAGAGGTGTGTGGGACAATACCATATTGATAATAGTTTTATTTGCCATAAATATCCGTAAGATAGAGAGTCCATTGGCCAATTGGGTTCTAATTATGGAGATAAAGAAAGAGATGTTCGTAAATCATACTGCATAGATAGGAAGAGAAGACTACTGCCTAACTCTTGCTCGATTAAGACAAACAGACTATGTATGACCACTAACTAATTCATCGCTCTCCAAAGAAGCGACGAGCGAAATTCTAAAACAAGAATTTCCAGAGAGCGCAAGCGCTAATATCAAAACCTAGGACGCTGCCGTCAAAGTCGCTCAATATACTCAACTTGCTAGTTGACTTATGTATGCTTCTCCACAAGCTACTAAAAATACCTGCGCTAGTTTTTATCAACCGCCTACTAGGACAGCTAGTTGTCGAAACCTCTGGGGTGCCTTATCTGAGTCAAAAATAGAATTCACAGACATACAATGATCCTAGAACCCTACGAGTCAGTATGAAATACTTGTTCCCTCTTTGTATCCTTTGCTATCAAATTATATAATAAATGCCATTGAGCTATCAGTCTAACATGAGATCGAAGCTTAACTTGGAGTCACGCAGAAGAGTGTCCAATTCTTCACAGTCGGTTTATTACACTGTGTGTGGGAATATTGAGGGATTGAAAGATCTCTTCCATAATGTCTTAGCGTTTCTTTGAGATATTGATGTTACTCCTGGCTGTAACTATACGCTCTTTCGTGAGTTGATTCCTCAATTCTCAATTGACTTAAGCTTATATTGATCAGTGGAAAATATAATACTCAAAACAGTACGCAACTCCAAGTTTTTAACTTGGGCGGGATTGATGAAGATTATAGGTACGTAGCGTCGATTTCTAAATGTGAAAAGCTGCAAGCGGCTTGTGTAGGCCAGTAGCAGGAGCGAACACTGCTTGCAAAAAAGCCTTTGATTCCATCTTGAAGGACTCGTCCTCCAGAAAGCCGAAGAATTTCTCTGATACCTCACAGCCAGACACTTTGATAGAAGAACGAAAACAAAAAACTCAGCAAGCTATACAAGATTGTTGGAGATTTCTTGGGGTTGCTCCTAACTTGGAGAGCAAATCCCAGAAATCCAGAATAAATTTCCATAGTCGATGCCATGAGTCGCACAACTTTGATGTGGGTGCTGCACGAGGAAATGAGAAGTCCCGCCCAACTTCCTGACTACAGTGCCGATGCTGGCATTTTGGATATGTAGCCCATCTCCTATCGCATATGCTATGACCGAAGCCGCACATTGTGTGATATTTCTGCTTGAAGCGTGTGTAACGCAGAATGCTACTTCCGCCTATCGAAATAATAAGCGGCCAACTGAACTCAACTGCACTACACGGGTTCCAGTTAGCCTATTATTCTGGAGTACTTGTTAACTTATGGTGCATTTGTCGATATTACGGGCGTGAAGGGGTTTTACTCCTCCTATGCACGCTGCGCCAACCGATATGTCAGAATTCCTATTATATTGTTGACTACAATGCTCATATCAATACCACTTCCATCACAGAGCAGACACTTCTAACAGTCACAATCACCTACAACAACCAGAAGCCCTCGAACTCCTTCTGGATCACTGGATACAATTCAGCACATGCCCGCGTCTCAAAGGTTCTCATCATATAAAACTTAAATACTCAAAATCACATAAGGATTTCAGGATATAAACAATACCAAAAGACCATACTTATTTAAATATGTATATTACTCAAATAAAACGAAAGCCTCCTCTCCTCTCCTCTCTCATCTCTACATCTACGACTTACTTCCCTTCCATCTACCCCCTTCTTTCTCCCATCTTCACTAAAACCAACAAGAAAAAAAAATGTCCACATGATCCTCAGCATCACCTACACAAAAACTGTAGAAAACACATAAAACAATCAAATCGTGCAACTCTACCCATAAATGAATAGAGAAATATTTATATAGGGATCAAGACTGACCGAATAGAGTAGGAGAAATACTTCTATAAAGTCTACTTTTGAGATCCCGTTGGGTGATTGTGATGTTGAGGTTGAAGAGAGGAGTTGTGGATTGTGTTTGGGTTGATAGGGGAATATGTAAATGGAAAGGTGGGAAGTGGGGGTGGAATTGAAGAGAAAATGGAAATGAAATGAAAAGCAATGAGGAAACTATATTGCTAAAGTAGAGGTGATAGCTGATTATCACGTAAGGGTAGGGTGATGTGATGTTGAGAGTGATTGAGAATACGAGGAATGATGTGATTAAGATCCTATTAAATGAGTAGGGTTAATTGCATCTAATAATGTGGTGCTCATACTGAAAGGGACAAGTGAAGAGAATAAAATACCAGAACCGTATGCTGCACAGGCAAATGTTTGGAAATGCCAAAATTTGAACTTGAAACTTATGCCATAACTTCTAGAAGGGTTCATAATTGGTTCATTGATCTCTCAAAAGCTCTCCCCAAATCATTGTGCTAGCACACCCTTCCTCCAAATCATCCATCATGCAATCTTTGTCACCGAGGTATCGATCGTTTCAATAATTTGGAATCGCAGGTAGTTGTTGCGCAAGATATTCATTCCGAGCACCTTGCTACATGATATGCAAAGTGACCCTTTTAATGCTCCAAATACATATCATGAATGTAAGAAAAGGTGACCACCACAAATTTCCATCCATTTATTCCTCAACAATGTTACCCTTCTCCGAGACGTACAAACCATCCAAGAACTGTTATTACTGTCAGTAATAATTTTTTGAAGGATAAGTAACTTTTATGCCTACCTTTCGGATATCCTTGTTTCGTACTCTGCAGATTTGTTGAATGTCGGCGGCGCATTGGGAAACATCCTCAAGGGAGTTACCAGATAATTGAAGCTCATCCTTAACGTTCTTTGATGGCTCGACAGCAACACCTTCTCTCATTGGAACCTTACGAACGATCTTCTCGCCGATGAAGTTTCTATTCCAATATAATCAGCATTTCCATCCTCCAAGCGAAATTCTTTCCTTTTGAACCATCATACCTGATCTCAACAACTGGGATATCCTCTGGTCCCTTCTCAACGTTGACGTTAATTGGGAAATGTGCGTAGACATATCTCATCTTGTATTTGAAACCCTTGGTAACACCGATGATCAAGTTGTTGATGAGAGTACGGACGGTTCGGAGAGTAGCGACGTTCTTGCGGGCTCCGTGGTGAAGCTCGATCTTGATGACATCCTTCTTTGGCTGGGAGAAGTTGACTGCCAAATGGCTAAGATCCTTGTGGAGTTTGCCTATTTCGATTGTATTAGATTTGCGAATTGGCTGATTGTCGATCGATGTAGAAATTGTTTACCTCTTGGTCCCTCAACGGTAACTTGGCGGGATTTGATGGCGACCTTGACTATTCAATCAAATCGATCAGTATTCATTCTTCATCTGCAGAAGTTTTCCTTCCAATATTCTTCAATGCGCTTCATCAATTCCTTCCAGCTCCAACTGCAATCTGCCTCTTCGAATTTCAACAATCCAATAATGAAAAACACCGTACTTACCACCCTCTGGGATGGTCAGAGTCTCTTCGGAATGAATGTACTTCATTTTGGCCGATTTGTCGAATGTCGTAAATGGCGAAAAGGTGTAATTTACTGGCCGTCGTCCTAGGTAAGAAGTTCAAGATCGCGAAAATCAAAATTGTTGTGGGAAGCGCTAAAAATTCGCTAACGAGGGACCGAAAAAAGCAAGAACTTTTGAGGTCACGTGTGCAACAATTTTTAACTTCACATTGACCTTTACTCAAGAACTTCGAATTCACTACCACCATGCCATGATAAAAAATGACTGAAATCGAAAAGGCGAAGGGTTTAACCTATGTTTGAATGGCTCCTGTCAGCTCACAAAGTAAGGCTATTTATACGGATCTCAATTGGATTCCTTACAACTGTCTTTTCTCGGGCCAGAAAGTTAGATCTCATGGAATGATGCTATGAGGGAGGGGGAGGATATGAGATACTGGTCTATCTCTCTTTGAACTCGCAAGTCTATAAAGTAAGGCATTGGAACGTTGTTGCTCGTATTCTCAATATGTAATATCCCGACTCATGGCATGGAGCGATTGAGCCCTCGACTTAGTACCCCTTGTCAATGTATATTTCTTGATCAACAAACCTTCGTGTCTACTTGATGAAGGCATCCCTTCTTAAGCACATGGCCATACCCTACAGGAGCATCTAAACAGTTATTTACTGATTATATAGCCGGTACTAATATTGAAATACAGATTTCAAATCTCATTATATAATAGCAATTTCTCAATCCAGATTAAAGTGTAACTATTCTCAATTATTATTAAATTTATTTTTAGATCGATAATGTTCAACTTTATTTATTTAATCTTTCAATTCTCCTCAACTGTGACCAAAAGGGTGTTTATAGACCAGCAATTGTATTTAACTTAGAATCTACAGGTGAAGAGCACCTGTAGATGGGGATAGCTACTCTATATATACACAAATGAATGGCCTAGCCGCAATGGCTAGGCAAAAAGAAGTCATATTTATTCCTCCAATGATCTTACTTTACCGATAACCATTGATACCGAGTACTTGTCCGGATCTGATCCTCAGGTCACCTAAATCGCATACTAATCTCGAGTAATCGTATCATGTGTGGACATGGTTAATGTACCTGAGGTTTCTTATATAATAAAGGTGGGAGGAAAGCAGGGATTTCCGTCACATTACCCCCTCCTTTGAAAAAGCGAGTCCTCGCGCTTTTCATCATAGGTCTGTCACCCGTTTCATCGTCGTAGTTGTCGTCTCCAGCGTCATATCGTTCAATCCATCGAGGCAAGGCCTTGGGTGGTCCAGCCTTATTGGGGTTGGCAATGTGGAATTCCTTAAGTTTATGTGGAGAGTATTTGAGATCATCTGCTGGATACCAAGTAGGGTCAAGCGGATGATCTTTCCAGGAAACTTGATACATAATGTTCTTGTACCTGAGTTTCGAAGCTAAGATCTCCTCCACCTCCCATTCTTCCTCTCCGGTGACATTAATTGGAGGAGCGGGGGGATTAACTTGGCCGGGAAGTGGGTCTTCCGCTGCCAATCGGAGCTTTTCGGGAGGAAATACGTCGAATATGCGCATAGAGGCAGGCAGGGCAAGGCGGTATGATTCACCAATCTGTTCAACAATCTTGAAGGGCCCGGAATTGGGGAAATCCAACTTCCGAGAGGGGCGCTGGGTCTTGTAATATCGGGAGTCCAACCACACTGTATCTCCTACCCTAAAGTCGGGAGTACGGCGGTGTTTATTGTGCTGTTTAGCCATCCGATCTTGAGCGCGCTGAATTTGCTGTCGGGCGAAATCCCAAGCATTATGGGCACGCGTAGCGAATTCGTGGGCTTGTTCAACGTTAATTTTGTCTGTAGGATTGGAATTATGTTCTTTCCAATCCCAATCGATGCGAGGCTTGTATCCATAGAGCACTTCAAAGGGGGTCATCTTGCTGAGGGTATCATGAGGCAGAGTGAGCTGAGCGTAATCCATCAATGGGAGCAACTTTGACCAGTTATCTTGATAATAATTCACGAATGGGCGAAGACGTCGTTGCAAGTATTGATTGTAGATCTCCGTTTGCCCATCAGTAGCGGGATGGTCAGTAGAAGAATGTACTAGCTTGATTTTCAAGATAGAGGAGAGCTCGTGCCAGAATTGACTGACGAATTGGGTACCTCTGTCGGATAAGATTGAGGAAGGAGGACCGTAGTAACGATAAACATGATATATGAATAGCTCGGCGAATTCTTTCTCTGAGCACTCCTTAGTACAAGGAATAGAGATAGCTTGCTTGCTGAGCCTATCGATAACAACCAGAATATTGTCATACCCATACTTGTCTTTATTGAAGCTACAGAAGTCCATTGTGATATGTTCCCAAGGGCGTTGAGGAATACTAAGGGGCTTCAAGAGTCCAGGCTTTTTATCCCGCGGGACTTTGGAACGTCGGCATAGATCACAATTCCTGACGTATCTAGCAACATCGTCTCGAAATCCTTTCCAATAATAATGCTCGGAAATGAGTAATGAGGTTTTCTCAGCATTTGGGTGGGCAGTGGTAGGTTGAGCATGGACTTCGCGGATGAGATAGGTGTGTAGATTGTCAGTAGAGGGGATGACTACTCTTCCCTTATGAAGGAGTAAACCATTCTCAATAGTGAGTGGGGATCTTCGATTGGGATCCTCAGAGGCACGAATAGCTTCTCTGCGCATAGCGGTGAGGCTAGTTGA